GCAGATGGTGGTAATGACAAGGAGGGTCGTGCGTCTACAATGGGGGGGGGTCCCCTGTGATTACCACTTGAACGGCTGGTAAACACGGAGAGGAGGGGCGGCTGGAAGCATTGACGCTGCCACGCGCTCATACCGCCCCATGCGGTGCAGGGATGATTGGTGCGTGGGGGCCAGGAGGAGGGAGTTGGGGGAGGGGCCTGGCGAGGAGCAAAAACTGGGGGGTAGCGGGGATATTGGGATATGGGGGTATAGGTGGAAGGAGGGGGGGGCCCTGGTGAGTTGAGGGGTTTGGGGGGGGGGGGACTTGGACACGAAGCACCAAGGGTCGGCCTCGCGTGCGGCGCGTGGGTCCATTCCTTGTGCGTGTGACAACACGAACCCATTCCTGAGCATGTGCGCTCGCGTATGTGCTTGTATGGGGTCGACTCGTGTTTATCAAATCCCTGGTGCAGTGTGTAAACATCAGCACTGGGGAGACTAAAGCAGCCATGGGTTGGGCGTGTTCGCACATTGCCACCATCAATGCCCTCGTGCCAGGCTAGGTGCACTGTGAGACATGCCGTGCCCGCCTTCATAGGTGCTACTCACGAATAGCACTTGCTCCAATGGCGGCATGTATGTGGTTTACATAGGGGATCTTCGTGTGTGGTGTGTGCACGTGCCTGTCTGTGTCCAATTGTGGCTTGTGCCTGGACCTTAAATTGCTAATGATCTCAGAATTAGTTCTGCGATGTCCGACTCCATGGGCCGTTCTGTAACGTGAAGTGATGAACTGCTCTGTGAGAGTTTGGAATGGATTCTTCGTCTCATCTCTTGACACCGATAGCACAATCAGGGGGATGAAGTTGGCGAATAAGTAAAAATAATGAAATTAAATCTTAAGACTGGTCAACAGTGCTGTTTGAACGGGCGTCGAACGCCACCGACACTGACCTTCCTGTCCCCCTTAACCCCTGACCTAGGAGCTGGAGGATCTGGAGGAGGTGGAAGACGACAGTGATGACGTGGAAGCAGAGGACACCATTAAAAAGGACGAGCTGTAGGCCCCCACGGGGCCCCCCATTTTGTAATGAACCTCCCCCTCGTGTGTATGTAAATGTTAGGCCATGGATGTCAAATGCAAAACCCACACCCCTCTTACTGTGCCGTGCTTCAGCCTGTCCAGCCTAGGCCCTTAGTGCCTGGGAATCGTCGCCACCACCACCACCACCACCGTCCCCCGTGACGCCGTCGACCTGGTGTCGGGTCTCTCCGTTGCTTTTCCCCCGCTGGGCTGGCAAGACGCGTCGCCAAGCCACGTCTGGCCCCTGCCCGCCACGTGTTTCCCCGCGTGGCGTCGGAGATGCCTCCTTGTAAATGAATTCCACGGATTGGGCGCGCGGACGCAAAGTGTCTAGAGCTCGCGGAAAATCCTCGGCGCCCGTTCCCGTCTGCTTTAAGAGAAGAAGAAATCCGAGTCTCTTTTTTTATTTGTACTGATTTCCTGCGGGGTCTGTTTTGGGGTTTGCCTTCCACCAGGTAATTATTTTTTTATGATTAAATGTAAAAATGTGAACGCTCTACGGAGTGTGGGCCACGTCTGGTGCCCGTCTCCCAATCCGCGGCCTCCCTGGGCATTCCCACCGATTCTTTTCGATTTAACAATCCCTCAATCCCCTCGAGCTTTCAATCCCTTGGCCTCTGTGGCTTCCCGAAAGGAGTTGCCACTGCCTGTGGTTGGTTGAGTGAAACGCCGCGTGCTTCGTATTTTGTAAACGTCTCTCTGCTTTCCCTTACAACCGAGTGAAAGTTTAACGCGCGCGCGGTGTTCCACACGACCGGCTGCTGACCCTGGTGATGGATCGTAGTGGAGCCCTTCTCTCGGCCTCCAGGCGTTGCTTGATGCCACCTAAAAACGAATTACTGCGGAGTGGAATGCTCCACACAGCTCCATATCTGCTCCGCCCCGGAGGGAGAGGTGCGGGGAAGACGCGGGTCTCCATGGAGGCAGCGTTTGGCTGCTAATTTAACAAGTTGGACTAATATAAAACTCGCTTACCTACCCCGTCTCACCGTGCTCTACCCCCTCGCTCACTGCGCCTCTCTTGTAAACTTTGTAACAGCGCAGAAACTTCTGGCTAGGTTGCGGGTGTTGTCCGGGTGTTGTGTGTTCATTATGGCTGTGCCGTCTGTCCAGGTGTGTTCAGGGATGTGTGCGGGTGTGTCTTTGCGCTTGTTTGTGACTGTACCTCCGTGCTTATACACACGTGTGTGTCTGTACGTGTACCTGTCTTTGTACCAGGTGTGTGTGTGCGCGTGTGTGTGTGTGCGCGCCACATTGGCCCGTGTGTACCCGTGCGCGTGTACATGGCAGTAACTTGAGGCGGGTTACGTCGTTGTAGGGAGCGTAGGGGGGGGGGGGTTGGGGTGGGGGTCGCTGTTCGCGATGCAAATAAAAGGGAACAGCAACAACGACATCACGTGTCTCGCTTCTCGTGCTTTCTTGCCGGGCTTTCAGTTGCCAGGGTTTGATTTCACGTGACTTTGTTTCTCCCAGTTTTACGTATCGCTTGGTGTCGCTCATCACGTGGTTGTGTTCCACAGTGGTGGTTTTATCTCGCGGTTTATTCCCACATCGCCTACGACGCACCGGACCAGACCTCGTCGGGTCTCGGAAGCGAAGTCTGATTGAGCCTGGACTTGCCACACACACACAGGTGTGGTGGCCACACACACAGCTGTGGCTGCTGTGAGGGCACGTGGTGTTGTGCCACAGGGCAGTGCACAAAAAGCCATTGCTGGGCTGTTTGTCCATGCGCTGACCAAGCCTCGGGGAGACACGCGAGGGCCTTGCCTGGCCTGGCCTGGCCCAGAGGAGAAAGATTTCCGATGGTTTGAGTGAACGGGGATTTGGTTTATGCAAACAGTCGGCCGAGCTGGACGCTGTTGCTCTTGTAAGCGAGTCTGAATCTTTATTTAGACTGGAGGAATCCGATGAGTTATGACTCTTTTTCACAGATGTCCAGTATGAGGGTGGGTCAACAACTTAAAACGGAAAACAAAAACGATAGGAGTGCAAAACAGAAAAGGGTGAGCTAGTCACTTTAAAAGTAAATTGTCAGATTTATCTACAGTTGGGCAAGGCAGTAAAAACAACCAAACGGTCCCAGGCCACAAAGAAAAAACACGGTAAATAAAAAATAGGACCTTTAATATTGAACTATCGATAGTTCAATCAAAGTTACAAATCGCATTTAGAAAATCATCATCGTGTCGAGAGTCTTGCTGTGAAAAGGAGACGGGAGAGAGGTTCAGGATTGGAGCTCGGCACGCAATGAAGCCATCGCTCCCTTTTCATGCTGCAAAGATCGCTCCAGTTGTTGCAAAGCTAAAACCACGACCTCCCCAGGCTTTGACGAAGACCGCTTCTGTCGCGATCGAAACGTCGCGGGTTATTTTTGCTTTAATTTTAGAATTTATTTTTCCTAAAATTTTAATTTAAGTAAATGTTTTATTTTCTATCTCCGTGACTTTACCGAAAGAAGCAAGAATATGGATGATATTGGTCGCGAAGGCCTACTACTGCCACGTGTGTGTCTATCCCCCACCCCCCGCGCCCGAGACACCAAACCCTTATGAGGTCAACCATCCCGGACGGAGACCACCGCACCGACCCGGCATTGAGTATCGAGACTCCGTGCGGCTTTCTTGAGTAAACAGAGCGCCAGGATGATTATTTATGATTATTATTGGAACAGATAAACTTTAAACAAAGTCCTGGGGGGGGGGGGGGGTAGAACCCACGACCTCCCCTCTCCCCTCCGCCCGCCATCCCTCACCCCCGCCCCACAGCCGCTAATTTGAGCGAGGAACGCAGTCAACACGAGCCCTGGACCCCCCCTGGGTCTCGGCGGAGGGGCTCCCAGCATCTCTCACAGTGCACCTAGCCTGGCACGAGAGCATTGATGGTGGCAATGTGCAAACTCGGAACCTTGTCCACGCTGGGGAGATCGGGGTAGTGCTCGGGTCACGGGGGGTACGGAGGATTAGTGCTCGGGCTAGAGATAGGTGTACTGTTCGGCGTAGCATTAGGGGTGGTGATAGAGGTTGTGGATAGGGTTCAATTTCAAGTTATTTATATTAACATTGCGTCACGTAATATTAAAATACATCTGCGCGCATGATGATGATGATGAAATGGATCACCCTCACCACGCTCACCAACAACAACCGCCGTTCACCACCACCACCACCACGTGGCGGTAACGGCACGACGGCGCTCGTGCCATGCTAGGTGCACTTTGAGGCCACGTGAAGTGTCAAAGGGCCCCCTGGCAAGGAGGTCACGGAACGGACCCAGGTGCCGTGGGTTTGACCGACCGAGATGGCCGGGCAGATGCATCGGCCGCGCTCCCCACTGCGCCAACTTGCTGCGGGATTTTATTTTTTCCGCCAGAGCGCTCGTTGCTGTGAGCTCTCGCTCTTCTGCCCTCCGCCGTTGCTGGAGGGCGACTGCCTCCAACTCCACCAGTAGCTTCCTTCACGAGCCTCTCCTCCACAGTTATCGGCAAGGCCACTCAGCTCCGCATCCTCCTGCACCGCATCAGCTGCCGTCCCTTCTCCAGCGCCGTGCCCGTTTAGCTCCCCTCTATCCGGCCGAACAGAAGCTGCTTGGTCGTGCGGTGTCGTCTGGGCCATGGCGAGCTCACCCTGCTCATCCTCACAGCGCTCACCCTCACTCACCCTGACCGCGCTCACCCCACGAAACCACATTCACACCTTTATTGACGACGAAACTCTCTCTCCCAACACCCCTCCCACCACTCGTACTCACCCCACGAGCTCACCACCCTCAACCCATCCCCTCTCTTCCCCTCTCCCCCCTCCCCTCCGCATCCCCCGCGGCGTTCGCGCTACTCTCGCTCCATCATCGGCGTGGAGTTCGTGCCGCCCTCCCCCCACCTCCCCCCACCCCCCGTTCTGGCCCCCCTATAAGAGGGGACCTGACCCCGCCTGCCCGGGAGAGGGGAGCTAGGGGGTGCGGGCAGCGAGGATCGCGCACAGGAGACGAGAGGAGAGAGCGACTCGACGCGCTCTCGGAGCGACGCTTTTGTGATTTGTTGTTGTTGTTGTTGCTCTGCTCGGAAATATATTTGCTTTAACACAAAACAAAACAACATTCGTCGGAGTCAACTCCCGCAGCAGCAGCGGCGGCGGCGGCAGCGGCTGCGGGAACAGAAAGAGCAGCGGCAACTCAAGGATCGTCAGTGTCATCAGCAGGACCATCATCATCATCAGCAGCAGCAGAAGCAGGGACATCAATCAGAAACAGCAGCGCAATTATCAGCGTGCTGCAGCAACCCAAGGCAGCGGGAGCAGCAGCAGCGGCAGAATCATTATCTGCAGAGTCATCCTAATCAGCAGAATCATCATCATCAGCATCATCAGCCGGTGAGATGGCGCTCTACCTGGGCGTACGGCAGTACCACGTCATCGGGGATTACGGCGCTCGCTTCTCGTTCCTGAGTCGCGGGGGGGACTCGGGACTCAATTCCCCGGGGGGCAGGAAGAAGACCAAGGGGACCGGCTCTCGACGCGGCTCGGTCGCCTCCTCGTGCGGCCCCGAGCGCACCGACTCCCCCGCGCCGCTCAAGAGCGTGCGATTCACGGCCGACGTGGAGTTCCTTGACAACGTGAGGCAGGGAGACGTGGAGCAGGTGGAGGCTTTCGTCAAGGGCGGGGAGCTCTCCCTCGACACCATCAACACGTCCGGTAGGCATCTCTCATCGCCCCGGCAGTAACGACGCCTCGTGTGCCCGAGCCTCGCGCTTAGAAGCATCATCAGCGTTCTCGGCTCTCTGTGTGCCTCTAACGCAGAGCCCCGCATTTAGAAGCATCATCAGCGTTCTCAACTCTCCGTGTGTGGCTCTAACGCAGAACCTCGCCGCTAGAACCATCATCAGCATTCTCTGCTCTCTGTGTGTGGCTCTAACGCAGAGCATCGCCTCTAGAACCATCATCAGCATTCTCGGCTCTCTGTGTATGGCTCTAACGCAGAGCCTCACCTCTAGAAGCATCATCAGCGTTCTCGGCTCTCCGTGTGCCTCTAACGCAGAGCCTCACCTCTAGAACCATCATCAGCGTTCTCGGCTCTCCGTGTGCCTCTAACGCAGAGCGACAACCGCGTCTCGTGTCGGGGACGCGGCTGCAGAACCGGTCTGAGGCAGCGGCGCCAGGGCACTAAATCAGGAGCGGCAGACGTCATCGCGACGCTGCTAAACTTAAGTGCGAAGATTGCAAGTTCCCCCGTTAGCGAGACGTGAAACTACCTCGCAACCACTGCTGAATACACGACAATATCATCATCATCACCATCATTACCACCATCACCACTATCATAACCATCATCAATACATACACGCATCTAAAATCCATCCAAAGCGACTAATCCGCACACAAAAAAGTACAGTGAATACAAAAATAAAATAAAAAACAAACCACGACGTTTCGATCGCAACACCACTTGTGTTGCGATCAAAACGTCGTGGTTTTATTTTATTTTATTTAAATTATTTTTATTCGCTTTATTTTTATTATTATGTTTCTATCTACGTGACTTTACCGAAAGAATCAACGAATATGAATTCCTTCAGTCACGAAAGTTTTAAGTCAAAATTTACGCCACACGACTAAACCACAACTCTGACTTATACCATTTACACATTTAGCAGCGGCTTGGGGAGGCCTCCATCCAGCAGTGGGTTGGCCACGGCTGCTGCTGCTGATGATATCAAGCATCTGATCGTGACGTAATCATCTTTGTAGTTTCTCACTCACGAAACGCAGGCGACACCACTGCACCACGGAGCACCGATTCTGCGAGATGCCCCATCAGCGAGAAACCACGCGGCACGCAGTGGATGGGTCTCAGTTGTGCAATCATTGGTGGCCGGGCTAAGGCCGTTCAACCGAATCGGAACGTTGTCACCACCCCAGACCCATGCGCACATCTCCTTCACAGATGGAAAATTAAACGCACGAGCCGCAGTGATGCGATTGTTGCCATGCAACACAAACTACGGACCGTATATTGAACCCGTAGAGGCACATCGGGATACGCGGAGACTCCTCGAGATACACAGAGAGGCACGGAGTTCTAATAAAGACAAATCACCTGTGCGATTGTGGCCGTGCAACCAAAACTATGAACCGCAGGGTAAACCCACCGTGATCTGCGCTCCTTCAACGGAGGAGGATCGGCAAAAAACGACATCAACTCTTCTCTCTCTCTCTGCTGAAGCCCTCTCGTTGTGACCAGCAGCAGACCTCGACATTGGCAGAGAGCTCTGAATATTATGCTGCTGTTGCTGCTGCTGCCGTGCACAAGAGGAGAATAGAAACCGGGCAGAGTCCACGAGTGCGCGGCAGCAGAGAACGCGGATTTGAACCCAGGCTCCCAGTGGAAGGTGCCAAAAAAATATTCGATAGCAGCATCCTTAGAATTGACGCCGCTCACTCAGCTCTGGCGAGTTCGCATGTGTGAGTGTTTTGCTGAACTTCTTTCGCACCGTACGTAGCCGATCGTGTTTATCCGAGGTGCGGGGGAAGGGCATCAAACTTATACACAGTGCGAAAGAAATTCGTTTTCTCTCTTAGTTGATTTAAAAGTGGATCGCTCCAGTGGCTTCCTAATATCGGAAGGAAGAGCGTTCCAGACGGCCGCAGAAGCGCGTTTGAAAGCGCGCGATGCGGTGCCCTGTCTTTGTTCGAAACTTTACAGCACATCATCACAATTCAAACCCGGCACATTCAACCGTTCGTGGCCTCAACAGGAAACATTTGCCGTAGATGCGTTACGAGAGAAGGGCACACAAAGCGAAATCGCTTAGAATAGACCACGCAAGACACGATCTACCGCACGTGCCAGCGCCTGCCCAGTGCGCGCACATTACAGACAAGTGCGCACACAGTGCACCCACGCTACTCACACAGTGCACCCACGCTACGCACACAGTGCACCCACGCTACGCACACAGTGCACCCACGGTACACACACAGTGCACCCACGCTACGCACACAGTGCACCCACGCTACGCACACAGTGCACCCACGGTACACACACAGTGCACCCACGGTACGCACACAGTGCACCCACGCTACGCACACAGTGCACCCACGCTACGCACACAGTGCACCCACGCTACGCACACAGTGCACCCACGGTACGCACACAGTGCACCCACGTTACTCACACAGTGCACCCACGCTACGCACACAGTGCACCCACGCTACGCACACAGTGCACCCACGCTACGCACACAGTGCACCCACGGTACGCACACGCTACGCACTACGTTGTCCCACGTACGACCTGCAAAGCCGCATGTGGAGTGAATTCAAACCGCATATAATGTAGCGGATTTTGGGCAGAACTGCGCGAAATGGCACAACGCGAGCCCGAAATCGAGAGAGGGACACCTGCAATAGGTGACGTTTTGGGAGCTTGCCCTTCTTCATAGCGCTCCTATAACCGACTGTTGAGCCCAGCTCTCTCGCCCTTTTCCAGAGCATCATTAAGAGTGGCCACCCACTCGCGCTCGCCTCGCGAAGGTAAAAGCGCCGCGCAGAAACCGCTCTCGCAGGGCACGGTCGCGATGTCCTCCGCCTGAGCGCGCCTGTGTGCGGGTTCGTAGGGGGAACGGTGGCGCGGCGGTTAGCGCACGACGCGACGAACCCGGCAAAAGACCCGAGTTCGATTCCCGCTCACGGCCAACATCGGTGACTGATATCTGAACCAGGTCCCGGGCCTCCCCTAGGTCGACTCAGACTCACATGAGTAGCTTAGTGTGGCGGCGTAAGCATCGGCGCTGGGGGAGACAAAGGCGGCCGGGCGTGGTGCTGGCCACCCACCCCCTCGTGTGCCGTGACGGCCTTCATAGGTGCTCGCTGACAGCACTTGCCCCAGTGAGCGGTCTGTTGAAGGCTATACGGGGGGGCAGGGGGGTGGGGGGAAGTCTCTGCCTTTGTACAATTCGTGCACGCAGACACGAGAGAGTGAGCGACACCCGGGTGACCCCCCCTCGTGACAACCCCACGTGTACACAGGCATGGCGGCGCTGCACGAGGCGTCTCTGCGTGGCCACGTGGAGGTGGTGGAGGCGCTCCTGCGAGGGGGGGCACGGATGGAGCTGCGCACCGAGGGGGGGGTCACGGCGCTGCACCTCGCCTGCTCGCAGGGCCACACGGCCGTCATCAGGTAGGCGCGGCAGAAGAAGTCGCGCAAATCGGGGAGACCGTCGTGGGCTCCCGTCATGGGAACGGGGAATGTCCATCGGACACCATCAGTATGAGCACCAGTATCGTTGTCACCTTCGACATCATCATCAGCATCAGCAGCAGCAGGAACAACAACACCACCCACCACGTTATCAAGAATCCCATCATCATCACCAGCAGCAACAACACCACCCACCACGGTATCAAGAATCCCATCATCATCAGCATCAGCAGCAACACCACCCACCACGGTATCAAGAATCCCATCATCATCAGCATCAGCAGCAACACCACCCACCACGGTATCAAGAAACCCATCATCATCAGCAGCAACAACACCACCCACCACGTTATCAAGAATCCCATCATCACCAGCATCAGTGGTGTGGACGAGAAGACTCCCTGGAGCTCCCCCAAGTCGTGGAGCCAACAGCCGCTCCTTCCCATCATCATCATCATCATCAAAACTCCTCCTCACTCCCCACCTACACCTCCTCACTCCCCACCTACACCTCCTCACTCCCTACCTACACCTCCTCACTCCCCAGCTACACCTCCTCACTCCCCAGCTACACCTCCTCACTCCCCAGCTATACCTCCTAATCTGTGCCCCCCTTCCCCCCCCCCCCCCCCCCCCCGCGTAGACATCTTCTCCGGAAGGGCGCGTCCCCCGTGGCGCTGTCCGAAGGCGGCGACCTCCCCGAGGACCTCCTGCCCCGGGGCCGCTCCGACATCCGGCAGATGCTGCGCGCGGCGCGCAGGGGAGTCTTGCCTGACGACTAAAGGGGTCGCAGGGACCCCCCCCCCTCTCAACGTGCCCCCCCTCCAACCCCCCTCCCCGGCGCGAGGGGTGACCCCTGCGAGCGGGGGGCCAGCCACGTGCGGGGAGCGCGCTCAGGGACCCGGGGGACCCCGCTCAGGGGATCGCTTGAACCCCGACTGAGAAATCGGATCGAGGGTTTCAGATCCGGCATGAGGATCACGGGCCCAAGTCCAGCGTCTGGATCGCGCGGAGTGGAGTCGGGAGGCGACTGGAAGCCACGGGCTCCAATTTACAAGACTCGGACGCGAAAGTCTGGATCAAGGACTCCTCGGATCCAAGAACTCGGGAATTCTGGACACGGATCGAGAATTCATATTCAGGAGCCCCTTGCGGTTCCTGCCAGTGGAGATCCCGAGAGGACCCCCTGAGTTCCAGGGGGTACCTGCACCCCCCCCCCCATCTCTTTCCCAAGGCCCACCGCCTCAAGCCTCACCCACACCCCCCTCATCGGGGGGTGAACTACCCCCCCCCCCCTGTAGCTGCGTCGCGTATATATTTTTGTACAGGGCTGGAGATTGTCAACGTTTCTGTCGGTAATGTTTCCATCATTTTAAATAAAATCGCTTTCATTCAGCCGAGGGTGAGCGGGCGGATTGTGAGTGCCGTTGTTGAGTGGGGGCAGACGAGTGAGTGGGATGCTTGCAAAGACAAAGATCCCCCGTGTAGCCTACACAGGCCGTTGGGGCAAGTCCTGGCCAAGTGCTGCGAGCTAGTACCTAATGAAGGCCGGAACGACACGGCACACGAGGGAATGGGTGGCCAGCACCACGCCCGGCCGGCCGGCCGCCTTTGTATCCCCAGTGGCGATGTTTACACACCCCGAACCAGGTACTCATTTGAGGCTGAGTCAACCTAGGGGAGGCCCGGGACCGGTTCAGATAATCGTCACTGATGTTGGCCGCGCACACACACGCACACACACATTCACACACATGCACACACACACGCACACACACATTCACACACACGCACGCACACACATTCACACACATGCACACACGCACACACACACACATGCACACACACACATTCACACACATGCACACACACACATGCACACACACACATTCACACACACGCACACACACGCGCACACACACACATGCACACACACACACACGCGCGCACACATTCACACACACGCGCGCACACACATTCACACACACGCACACACACACACGCACACACACATTCACACGCACACACACACACATGCACACACACATTCACACGCACACACACACACGCGCGCACACATTCACACACACGCACACACACACACATTCACACATTCACACACACGCGCGCACACACGCACACACACACACGACAAAAGCCACAATTCTCCAGAAAGTGGTGACGTCCCCGCGGCGCTTGTGCCAGGCTAGGTGCACATTGAGGCCACGTGGCGTGGCTGACAGAGACAGCCACGCCGCTCCCCCGTGCCGCGGGGGAGTGGCGCCGCCTGGCGGCCGCGACGGGAAAAGCGCCTCAAGCACGACCTCGACTCTCTCTCTCTCTACCCCCCTGACTCTCTACCCCTGACTCTCTCTCTCTCTCCACCCCTCAACCACGACCCCGACTCTCTCTCTACCCCTCAACCACGACCCTACCTCTGACTCGACCCCTATTAAATTTCGATTTAAAGCTTTCGTGACTGCAGAGATTCATCTTCTTGGTTCTTTCGGTAAAGTCACGTAGAAGGAATGAGAATCATTCAGACGCTGTCTTTCTGACAGACCTGTTCTTCACCTGAGGACGGCTGATTGCGTTGTGGCCGAAACGTCGTGAGAATTGTATTTCATGATGTTTTATTTTTATTATTTTATTATTTCCCTTCTACGTGACTTTACCGAAAGAACCAAGAAGATCTACCCCTATTCCTAACTACCCCTATCCCGAGCGCTGACTTCAAGGCCGTAATTCTAATAAATATTGGGGGACACACATCCCACCCAATATTCAAATATGCTCAAAATGTCCTCCCCCAATATATTGCTATAAAATAGATTTCTGTTTATACGATTGTGGTTATGGTTGTACTTTATTAATCCCTAATCTCTGCCATTATATACAATGAAACAAGAAAAAGGTAAAAAAGAAAAAAAGAGAGCAATGTAATAAAATACACATTGTAAAAAATATATAAAAAGTCCATCCTATGTGTTAGTGATTTTTTTTTTCACATTTAGGCAGGAAATTGGTTTTCAAATTTGTATTTTTTTTCTGGGGGGGGGGGACCCCAGACCCCCTGGAAGATTCGGTCCCCCCCAATGTTGACTCCGTGGCTACGGCTTTGACGGATTATATCTCTGACCCCACTCCGAACAAGCTACGTGTGTGCATTGAAATCGCTACCCCCTCGCTCCACCCTTTCCTCTAATCCCACCCCTTCCCCTGAAGAACGCTACCCCCTTCCGCTAACCCTACCCCTACCCCCACGCTACCCTCACGCACGACAGCTCCCTCCTGGCACAAGCACGCCCCAGGCTTCCCCTGCCTCAGTCCCTGCCCCCAACAGTAACCCCCCCACCACCCCACCACCACCCCACCACCACCACCACCCCACACTTCCCCCACGAACCCCCACTAACCCCCCACCCCTTCCCCGTCTCCCGAAAGCGCTTGTTCCGTGTCGCAAGGTTTCTCGTAATCAGACCAACGACGCACACGGGCACAATGACACACACACTCTCACAATAACACTCACACAATAACACACACACACAATAACACGCACTCACAATAACACACACACTCACAATAACACACACACTCACAACGACACACTGACAATGACACACACACTCATATACACGACGACACACATACACCGACACACACACACTCACAATGACACACTCACAATAACACAAACACAATAACACACACTCACAATAACACACACACTCACAACGACACACTTACAATGACACACACACACTCACAACGACACACACTCACACAATGACACACACTCACACAATGATACACACGACGACACACACACAACGACCCACACACACTCACAATGACACACACTCACAATGACACACACATACACTCACAACGACACACTCACAATGACACACACACACTCACAATGACACACACACTCACAATGACACACACACTCACACAATGACACACACAACGACACACACACAACGACACACACACACTCGCGCGGTACAACAACACCACCGGCCGTTCGACACTCAACAGCGGGGACGTCACCAGAGCGCCTGTGCCAGGCTAGGTGCACGTTGAGGCCACGTGAAGCATCCGAGGTTCGCTGACAGGAGGAGGCCATGGGACAGACCCGGCAGCTGCCGTGGGTTGACTGCCTTCTGATGTAAAGCGCTGTGAGGCTTTGTGTGAACGACGCTATATAAAACCGACTTTTAGTTACGTATTTAGTTACTTATACTATGACTGGCAGATTCATCAGCTGTGCCCCCCCCCCCCCACGACTGTGCCCCCCCCCACTACTGTGCCCCCAACTGCACAGTAGCAGCGTCCTTCACGAGCATCCTCCATCACTAGAAATACAAAGATCCCCCGTATAGCCTCAACAAGTGCTGTCAGCGAGCACCTATGAAGGCCGCAACGGCACACGAGGGGGTGGGTAGACAACACCACGCCCGGCCGCCTTTGTCTCCCCAGCGGCGATGTTTACACACCGCACCAGGTACTAATTTTGAGGCTGAGTCAACCTAGGGGAGGCCCGGGACCGGTTCAGATAATCGTCACTGATGTTGGCCGTGAGCGGGAATCGAACTCGGGTCGCCAGGTTCGTAGCGCAGCGTAGTGCTAACCGCTACACTACCGCTCCCCGCTCCACACACAGTCACGCACACACATTCACACACTGTGCATCTACACACACACACAATCACACACACAATCACACACAATCTCACAACAACAACAACAACCGCCAATCGCCACTAAGTGGCGGTGACGTCACCACGACGCTTGTGCCAGGCCATGTGCACCTTGAGGCCACGTGAAGTGTCGAACGCCCGCTGGCAGGAGGTCACGGGGCAGACCCAGCAGGTGCCACGGGTCGACTGACTGAGATGACCGAGATGACTGGCCGATATACCACTTGTGCCCCCTACTGTGCCAACTTGCTATGCTTTATCCACCCGGCGCTCCGCTCGTTGTTGTGAGCGTCGCTCCTCCGCCCTCCGTTGTTGTTGGAGGGCGACTGCCTCCAACTGCCCAGTAGCGTCCTTCACGAGCCTTCTCCACAGAGGCCGATCTTGACACCGCTGGTACCAGTCATCGGCAACTCCACTTAGCTCCACGTCCTCCTGTACCACATCACCCCATCTCTTCTCTAGCCCGTGCCGCGCCCGTTTATCCCCCTCGATCCGGCCGAACAAAAGCTGTTTAGGCATGCGGTGGCTGGGCATGCGGGCTACATGACCCAGCCAACGCAGCCTTGCCTGCCGGAGGAGCTCACCGATGGGACTTTGCCCAGATCTTTCAAGGATTTGTGAGCTCCTCACACAATCCAGCCTGGTTAAACCCAGGATGGATCGTAGGTAGGCCAGCCTAAATGTTTCCAATCACAATCTCACACACACACAATCACACATAATCACACTCTCACAATCACACACACACACCACGGCGCCTGGGTCTCCGTGAGCCGTCACCGCCGCCGTCATCATTCGCGTTCCCAATCAGAGGGTTCCGAATTCGCGGAATTTTTTGCTGCGGAGCAAATTCCGCAGAGCGCTGAGAGGCCGAGCGCGGTGGATCGGGTTGGGGTGGGGGTACTGGGTGGGGGGGGGTTGGGGGGGGTGGGGGGGTTCTGGGTGGGGGGGGTTGTGGGGGGGGGGGTGGGGGGGTTGGGGGTGGGTGGGGGGGGGGGGTTCTGGGTGGGGGGGGGGGTTCTGGGTGGGGGGGGGTTGGGGGTGGGGGCGTTCTGGGTGGGGGGGGGGGGGGGGGTTGGGGGTGGGGGGGGGTTCTGGGTGGGGGGGTTCTGGGTGGGGGGCGGTTGGGGGTGGGGGGGTTCTGGGTGGGGGGGAGTTCTGGGTGGGGGGGGGGGGTTGGGCGTGGGGGGGGTTTGCGGGGGGTTCTGGGTGCGGGTGGGGATGGGGGTGGGGGGGTTTTGGGTGGGGGGATTCTGGGTGGGGGGGGGTTCGAGGTGGGGGGGGGGGGTTCTGGGTGGTGGGGGTTGGAGGTGGGGGGGGGGTTGGGGGTGATGGTGGTTGGGGGTGGGGGGGGGTTGGGGGTGGGGGGGGGGTTGGGGGTGGGGGGGTTGGGGGTGGGGGGGATTGGGGGTGGGGGGGGTTGGGGGTGGGGGGGTTGGGTTTGGGGGGGGGGGTTTATGGAAGGAGGTAGCGGGAGCCACGCAGAGCTCCGCACGGGAGCCGCGACTGCCGCCCGCAACCATCACGCACCGTGAGGAGTGAGTTGGGCGTGCGTGAGTGAGTGGATGAGTGAGTGGGTGGGTGAGTGAGTGAGTGGGTGAGTGAGAGGGTGTGTGGATGAGTGTGTGGGCGAGTGAGTGGGTGAGTGGCTGAGTGAGTGGGCGAGTGAGTGGCTGAGTAAGTGGG